TCAAAGCTAAGGCTTATGCACTGTTGGTGCAACGACGACGATGACGACGATACCAACGGCTAGTGTTATGGCTATTCCGCCAAACATGCTCTATTTTTGAGGTAAGCAGCAGCTCTACCGACTGCACGTACAGGACCCTTTTTCGCATCCGCCAACTCTGTCCCGCTGAATGCAACAGGGGCAGCAGCACCCGGGGTGGTAGTGGCGGTCGTCCTCCTCATAGCAATGGCCATCGATGTGGCATCAGTCTTCGCGGTAGTTATAGGTGTCGTCGCGTTCGTTGTTGTGGTTTGTTATTATGGTGGACCTCATCATAAGAGACATGTGGGAACTTCCGAGAATAGGGGACCCTAATATAGTATCCTACATAGTAAGTCCCTATGTTAAGGACCCCAAATTAAGGTGCCCCTAATTTTCGGAAACTCCCATGTGTCTTCGAGAGGGCAAAGACTCGAAGCTGCTTGCAACCTAAAATAGGGGCCTAAATAATTACATGTACTATTTTGGGGTTCCTTATTATAATGGGCCCCAAACCCTCTTCTAGTTATTAAGGCCCCTATATTAGCCTGTATTACATAGCTTTGCTCTGACTTGTCGTTGGTAGGTAGGCGTGTATCTTACTCGTAAAGCCCGCCATTCCCTTTCTACCCTTGCCGATGGTATTTTAGGCTCTGCCCTTCTTCGCTCTTGACCAACAAGACTGCCAGTGTCACTAGCACGCCTGGCAAGCAAGGCAGGGTGCCGCCATCACCGCCCGCACCCTCTCCGGGCTGGTTGTCAATGCAGAGGCCGCTGCATGGACGAAGCATTCCTCTCAAACAATTCTGGTTACAACCCCTGCACCTTTACTTGGCGATGATACACTTAAGGCTACTAAGCGGCATTCACTAACTTGTTTTCAGACTTTCTTTCGGAGGCGCCCCGGGCAGCTTCAAGAGCTCGGAGTTGGAATTCGTCGTAGCACCTTATGTATGCACATCAGGCATGACCTCAATCATCCTGGAAGTTATGGCAAGCATTGCACCGGCAACAACGGCGACGAGGATGATGATAAAGACAGGGATGGTGTCACTAAACAGCAACAGTCCAGAACCTAGTAGTCGAGTAGGTAACCTTTAACTTTTTTCGAGTAGTATAGCCCCGGTATAATCCTACATAACCAAAAAGGTTAACCTTTAGTTCCCCATGATACCCGACAAGTAGGAGAATACTGACTATCAGCGGGAATTCTCCAAAGCCCCGACAGGAGGAGGCAGCTCGCCACTTGGAAGCAGATGGCGAAGAGTCCGGAACAGCTTCGAGCTGTAAGCTGGCTTGCTTCGGGCTGCATGACACTTAAAGTGATGACGACTGCAGGGAGACCAACGCCAAACGACGGAGCTCAAGAACGTTACTGACATCAGAGGTAGCGACAGTGACTACCATGAGACGCAGCCGCGCGAGAGCGAATCGACGGAGAAGGGAGTTTGGTGCTGTGGACGGCCTTGAAGTAAGATCCCGAACCAGAAGACTTTCAGTTCTTTCTGCTTGACATTAGGGGAGACTCGCAAGAGAGTGGCAGCCGGACGGTGCTTGTCTGATTACTGGCACCAGCACCCCGTGTCTTGAGCCCGAAGCTTAAACTTGATTCCTAAACTTAGCCGCCTTAGCCCACAGCCACCGCTCCCCGCTGTGGTGCCACTGCAGGCCCAAAATCACGAACGACTGCGTTGCCTGGTAGGAGGAAGGCATTCTACGCAAGAGGTTTCGTGTCTCGCCCAGGCCAGGAAGCCGCGAAAAGCCAGTCGGGGCGCCCAGTCACCTCCAAGAATCTAGCAGCCAAAGCTTGATCAGCTTGTCTCTTCAAATTCCTCGGGCTGTTTCTGCGAGTGCGAACCGAGCCCGAGAGTGACTTTGGGATGTGCACCGCAGCCCGCTTACCTCCGAAACCCGCGGACTGTCCTCGACTAATCCCCTAGAAACCCTTGGCATGAAGGGACCCTTTAAGGTAGTGCGGAGCCTCAGAGTGCTCCTTGTTTGCTGCCAGAAACTCGGAAACCCTGACCGGATGAACAGTCTTTGTGCGGACTCGTCACAAGAGACCATGAATAGCCGTGCAGGCACGTAATTAGTAACAAATGGCAAGGTGACCGGACTTACCCCAGAAGCTACACCTGGCCAGGAAGCGGCAGAGGGAAGGTGAGCTCAATGAGCTCGTCGAGGCACCCTGTCGACTGTGGGTTGGTGCTCCAGGGGCCAGGAATTGAGTTCACGGTACCTGCGAATGAAGCCAAGTGGGTTTTGGAGGCTACGGCGCACATGCGTGGCCGTGCCACCAAGCATGTCGTTGTGAAGAACTGGGATGCAACAGCCTTCCCAAAGCCTTGCTCAGAACTCGGCCCGAGACGGCATTGCGAAGCCTCGCTAGAGATCCTGTACCCATTGCCCTGTATGGCTGCAGGAGATGGCGAAAGCCGACGTGGAGGCAATCGGGTCTTGCTCCGAGGGTTAGGAGTTGGGATCGAAGTTTTGCGCGCCGGCTCTGAAGCAGAAGCAGCATGCTGATGAAAAAGCCACTGCTTCCCGAGACACCACTTGTTGACCCAGCCCTGCGATGAACCCTGGCCTTTTAAAATCCTCAATCCGTTCAGACTCTCGCTTGATGCTTTTTGCCTTCCATGAAGAGCACATCAGTTTCTAAGTGCTTGGCCTCTTGCAGCTCTGCATAGCAGGTGAAGGCCCCGACGACGTCCCTCTTCTCCGGCATCCGGCAGGCAGCACCTTGAGTGATGTCGTCTTCCTCTTAAGAAATCCGCTACTGCGACTCCTCCTCCCGCCTCCCGCGGCCCCACTGGTTCTACGACAGCTGATAGTGCTGGCAGTGAGGAAGAGGTAGAGGAGGAGGAGGAGGAGGAGGAGCGTTTCTGCTTTAATTCTTGAAAACCGCAGTCCTCATGCAGTGGATGTAGATGAGTATGAACGAATCCGCCGCGGTCTTCTTGTCGAGTCTTGTCCGCGAAATGTCCCTGATTCGAGAAGCAACCGTCGTCTGCACTGGTTAGGCTTAACCCTAAACAACTTCGGCACTGCATTCCCAAGGCCATAACGTGTCGAAGCTAAACCAGACATGCCTCTGCAGCCCTCAATCACAACATCCCAGCAGCCTACAACCATCCCTGCACTTGACAACCCAAAGCCCTAAAACCCCGGAACCCTCAAGTCATTCAGCAGAAGCTGTCTCTGAAGGGCGCAGCCGACGCCAAAAAGAAGAAGCCGAGCGTCCTCGTTGCATCCTCAGGGCAAACTGGTCGTAAGGCAAGTGGTAACGATCCTGAATCTAACGGCCAGATACCCCTTGGTTTCAAGAGAGCCCCGTGCAGCACAGGATTTGAGATTGTTCAGGGCTTGGGCATTCAGGATCTGGGGGTGTTTTAAGGTTCTGGGGAACAAATCCGGGCCTGAATGATTAGCAACTGTTTCTCGGAGGCTCCAATCAAGGATGGTCCCTTCAAACATTAATCGGCTGCCCAAACCCCTTGAGTGATGCACTTACAGGAGGTTTAAGCGGCGCTCTGATTTGAGCTCTTTGCATTTGTCGGAGATCTTTGCAGTGCACAATTCGAGTGCCCCGAGGTTGTCAAGAAGCAGAAAGTGGAGGAGGCGGCTGGAGACGTAGCTGGCGAGGAGGAGGCAGCTGCGGAGGAGGCTCCCACTGCCGCCCCCGAGGCCTCGACTCGGCTTTTTCGTGCTAGGAACCCGAAGCCCGAACCCCCGCTGTCTCTTGAGTTTTCGGGTTTATGCCGATGCTGCGGAGGGTGTTGTTTGCTTTGCGGAACTGCAGCGAGCATGCTCGGCAGAACTGCCAATGCACACAAGCGTCACTGCTGCTGCTGCTAGGACTTCGAATACGGCTCCACGGCCACTACTGCCACAACGCCTCTGCTACTACCATCTCTCCTACTACCATCCACTTAGGCCCAGAATCTTGTCCCCGCAACCCAGGTCCGAGACCCTGCCTGGCCTCAAGGCCCAGAGCCAGAGCCCAGCACCCTGAAGCCGGCCCTTTGTTCTCTAGGCTTAGGTGCCTAAGCAGTATACCCTTTTGCCCCCTTTTTTGTGGTATGGTTCCCTTATTGACACTGAATAACAGGAAAAAAGTGTACCCTTACTGAGGGGTCACTCAGGAAGCGAGTTCTTCCAAAAACCTTTTTCTTACCTTTGGTTAGTATATATACCCGTATAGTAACCCTTAGAGAGCCCTTTATGGCCAAAGGTAAGCTTTACTTTAAGTCCAGAAGCCAGCAACCTCTGACTCCAGGCCACAGGCCTCGGTCTCGGCGCCTACGACAGCGGCAGTGAGGAGGCAAGGATGGAAGGTTCTTAAACCCAGAGACTCCAATATGCCTTAATTCAGGAATATACCTTGAGTCATATAAGGGATCCTACTATACAAAAAGGTAAATTCCGAAATTAAGGGATATTGGAGTCTCCGGGAACCGATAGAGCTTTCGGTTATTGGGGTGTTCTACTGTCTCTGTGGAGTCAGATGTTTTGAAAGAGTGTATCGTGTTTTGTCCGTGTCTATGGCACGCTAGAGTGGCCTCTGGGCTTGAAGAGTGGAAAATCCTTCGTTTGGTATCCCCATGTAGCTGTGGTGTGGTTATAAACTTATAGCCAAGTTTAGCCTTGACAGAACGCGAAGCAACAGCAACATTGAGGTGACGAACAAGACTGAGATGGTAGCATAAGGTGAGGGGCATGGCACGGCATGAGTGGTTTGTTCCTTCTCTCAAATGTTGTAGTTCCTTTCGAGCGGTGACAAGTCGGACGAGTCCACGAAAGATCGTGCGGGGGCATAGCTGTGGGTAACTCGTGTAGCATACGGCGCTGGCTGTGGGCAGGAGATGTCTTGAGTGTGTTTGATCCCCTAGCATTTCTGAGTTTTGCCATTCTAAGAGACCCGCTCGCAGATGCTCTGTGCACAAGACCAAGCTTGCAGCTAGCGTTTTGAACTGGCCATCATGGACAAAGCTGTGGATACCTCTTATCGCATCCTCGACCTCCCGTTCGGGGCAGGCGAGCCTGAGATCCAGAAGGCTTTCAAGTCCAAGGCATTGCAACACCATCCGGACAAGGGTGGTTCAGCCTCAGCGTTTCAGCGGATTCAAGATGCCAGGAATGTTCTCCTCTGCGACCTCAATGGCCCATCAATCCCATCAAACGCATGCTGTAGCAAGGAGGAGCGGCAAGAAGTTAGCAAGGCCAGAGCTGCAACACGTGCAGCTCAGCGGGAAGGATTTGAGACGGCTCCGGCTGCAGGCAACAAGCCTGGAACACACAAGTTCAGGAGCAAGGAAAAGCTTCGATCAGAACGCGTCGCGCAGCAAGCGTTCTTGGTGCAAAAAGCTGAGAAGGCAAAGCAGGCAAACAAGCAATGCAAGGGCAGTAAGCTTAGGTCGAGCCAAGACCACAAACAAGCCAGCGCCCCGCCCTCGAAAAGCGATAACAGCCCGACTCTTCATGTCAATGAACCTGTTGACCAGAGCCTCGTCCCTTCAAGAGTCATTTCTGTTGCATGGGCGCCACAGGGGGATCTTATTAATTTCATGGGTCTTTTTCGATATGGCAATTATCCTCAAAGGCACCCCTCAAATCACGTCATAAGCCTTCTACACCTGGATGTTTCCAAGGGTACCCCCTTTTGTTGGGGCTCCGCGTGGGTGGGGTGCTGGGGGCAGAGCCCGAGCATGTTGCCCAGATGGACAGATCCCCTGAATGAGCCGTTAGCCCAGGGCTTCCCTGAGAATACCACTTGGGCGTCCAACACCTGGCTTGGATGGTTCCTTTGCTGTGCCTTTGCAGGCCGTCATGAAGGGTGGCAATGATATGCAGTGATGAATTACCCGTGGGCCCATGCTCAAAGAACGAGTTGCTCGATTGGCTTCTTGTTTCACACCCTAACTGCTGGGAAACTGCGGCCTGCGGCTGCTACTTGCGAAAAAATGTATACGCGCTCGCTGTAAGTTTTGATCGTGCCTTGCACCAACATGTCTTTGGGGCGAATGGCTGTGCTGGAGCACGTTCGCCAGTCTTGCTTGGAATTTCGAAATTTTAGGAAGGGTCGGAGCTCCCTTGCCCTTTTCCCGATCGCTCCATTCCCTCCGAAGGTTTGTTTGCCTCTTTTTTCAAGCGGCTTGCTCCTTTGCCCAAAAGGTTTAGCTGTTATTTTAGCCGTGCATGGTACCGTCTGCAAGGGATCCACAGCCCTATTCGCAGTGGAATTAGACGGGTATGATACGGTATGAGTATGAGTAGCAGTTCGCCTAACATTGTGAGTCCCAATAATCCTGCTGATTTACTCTAGGAAAAATCGTCGTCATTCTGACTTTCGTTACGAAACTTTAAAGGACTCCGGAAGCCTCTTGCGGGTGTCCGAAAATAGGGGACCCCAACATAGTGCCTTAAATATAAGCACCCCAAAATAAGGTACCCCTAATTTTCGGAAACTCCCAGTTGCCAGGATGAGTCTGAGGAGACCTGAGTGCCATCCTCGGGGCGCCGTGTGGTTCCTTTGGTGCTTTGGGGCTGGGGGGTTTGGGGGATTCAGTGTAACTGACAGAGGCTTCTCTTTTTGCGAGGGGCTTGCTAAAGCGGTCACTACCAGGGTTCTCCTGATTGTGGGTCGATTCATCGCTGTCTTTGCATGGGTGTTTGTGTGTGGCACGGTTCGGATCATGTTCAAAACGCTGTCTAGTTCAGCTCTCCGGCCAGCCCTATATGCCAGGGGCCAAAGCACCTTAATCCTGCCCAAACAGATGGTCACCACCAAGGAGGCTGGATGAGCTTTGCACCCACTCTGAGGCTGCAAAAAGCTCCGAAGGGCCCGAGCGGTTTGGCAATCACGGCCACTGTACATAGTGATCAGCCCCTCAGGCATGGCGAAAGTGTGTGTGAAAGATGGATGCAGGGATGAAGCGACGTCCCCCTCCGAACCCCCTGAACCCACTTGGGAGTCTGCAGAACCCGGCTTCGCTGTGTGCATGACCTGGCACCCTGTTCACTCCGTTAACATCGGGAAAACTGGCAAGTGGGGCGTGTGCTTCGGGCAATAGCGAAACAAGGATGGGATGCCCTCAGGCTGGCAGGCTGTAGCACTTTAGCATGCAGTGAATGTCGGCGGGGAAGCAGCGGATTGCGACGCAGGCCTGTTACCCTCAAGCTTGTTCATACAATTTGTGTAGCTCCTCTCTTTACGATCATGGCGGCTGCAGATGTGCAACAGCAACCGCGAGACGAAGAGATGCAGACTTATACTCTGGCGCCGTGCCTGCACTCGGTGGATACCGGATCGTTCGAAGCAGAATTGAAGAAGTTTCCAGAACCAGGCAAGGCGAAATGCATTGTCATCCACTATACCCAACCAGATGCGCCTAATAATGTCTCGCTTGCTGGAACATGAGTGCACATGTCTTTTACAATCTGTCAGATTGTCATCAGCGCTCTTCTTCTGCCTTCGAGCGGTCCCTATGTTCATGCCTTGTTTCACCTACGGCGCATGTCACTGGATCGCTTTGATTTCCAGACATAAGCTTTACTTCAACCCGGTAACCTGACAGGAAAAGCTAGAACAGCCTCTATAAGATAGTGACTTCCGAAGACCGGGTCCCTTGCATAGGTTGTCTTTACTGCAAGTCGCGCTATGAATGATCTCTACCGCGGGCTCCCCTCTTCTGGTCTGATCTGCCTTTGGGGTTTGCCTAATGAGGAACAGGAGACTGCGCCCACACTCGATCGCACAGAGTCGCAGGCCGGTCCATGTTCTGGCCACGCTTCAAGCCTTAATCTGGGCTCTTGTAAAAGAATTTCATCTAAGTTGCCATAGTAGGGATCTATTGTAAACAACGTGGTTTCCTTATTATGGTAGCTTAAATTAAATCCCTTAACAAGAACCCAGTATTGCAACCTACAGTTGGATGGGTCATGGGTTGTTTGTAGAGCATAGGAGCCTCAACAATGAGCATTGTTAGTCTGGTAGGTCTTGTGGTTCATAGAACCATCTTTTCATGAAGTAGTGGCAGTCACGCAGACTGTGGGGATTTTGCTGCAGGCCGAAGGGGGTTTTGATTCAGCCTTTAAAAGCAATGGACGGCGAGCTTTCCAACCACCGGAAGCCTCAACCAGAAGCAGGTTCTCGTTGCAAAGCACCATTCTGGGGTAGTGGAATCTGGGCGTGTTGCTCTTTTGAAGTCAACTCCGGAGAATTGGCAGTAGAGTAAGAAGAAACGCAGTTGCATTTACGAAATTTCTTTTAGCACGAAGAAATCAGTAGCAGTAAGAATACTGGCAACAAAAGAAGAAGTGGCATGGACTTGCAACAAGGTTCCCGAAGACGGGTGCAAATCAAACTCCCCCCCCTGCGGAGAAAATAGACAAAGCCGCTCGTTGAACACACTGGCCGTTCACGACCATCTTCATGCCGTGGCATGACTATCCTAGCACGGAGCTTTCGCCTCAAGCGATGACGAACAAGATGCTGCACAGCAGATTTGTGGTTTCAGACCGTCTGCTGTGTATCCTTTAACCACACTTAAGACCCAAGGCTATCGGATCCTTAACCATTCAAACCCTTAAAGTTCAGTTCCCTAAGTCAAAGCTAACCTAGGGAATCTTCGAAATCCTTTGAGCAGGGCATCTGGTGTGCTTCCCAAGCCGGGATTTGGGAGTGAGGTATTGTTTGGGATTTGGGGATCCTAAAGGCACCCTTCTAATAATTTTGAACTTCATAGCCCGTGATTTAAAAGACTGAACCCGAAAGCTTCAACTCCAAAAATTGTTGAGGGTTTGGCGTTCAGACATCGACGCTCGGCCTCCTAACTATCCCGAAGCTCCTGAACGGACCGCCCGCGACGGCCAGGTCGAGAAGCAGCTGAAGGCTCGAGACTTCACCGAAGCCCCGAAACCCTACAGTAGTAGCCCAAAGGTTGGGTTGGAAACTCAATAGTCTCAATCCTTTAGAGTAATATGTATATAGGAATCCCAGCAACAACTGTCCTTCATCCGGTTTCCAACTATTGAGATTACTGTACACTTGTCCGAAGCTTTCATAGCCCCTGCTGAACCCCTAAATCTGCAAAGAACATTCTCATGCCGATGCCGTCTCTTGTGCTCTAATGTTCGTGCTGAGTGTAATTTTCAGCTTGGGGGCCAGGTCTAGGATTTTTCGCGGCGTCTCGCGAATGAAGCAGCACCCACGAACCCTCGAACCTTTTCGGCATCAGTTCTCACCCGCTACCTTGGTTTGGTTCGCGTTTCTTGCTCTGCGTGTGACTATCGCGAAGGATATTCCGAGTCAGAGTGGTAGTTCTCTTCACGTAGCATAGCGCTGTCATTGCCACGGCGGTTGTCGCGACTGGAAGTCGGCAACGACACTACACTTTAACTGAGCACAAGAAAACAACACAGAAGCAGCATCGTCACAAAAGGCAGCAGTGCCAATAAGCAAAGGAGTATTTGCGCAATTGTTCACTTGCTTTTGTAACAATTCTCAGTATCTCTATGATTCTGATATGATTGGGACTGGGCCAGCGGAACTTAGTAACTCGGGCGAGTGGAGCGTTACGTCTAGGTTTGGGGGTTCACCCCCAAGCGCCCCATATAAAACTGCTACAATGGAGGCTTCTTGCCAATGCGGGTCCTTTCCGGATCCTCTTCGACATCAGTTGGCTAGTTAATTGACTTGCGAGCTGACTACCTGCTTACCTAGCTTACCTACCTAACTATATATTTGCATAACTACCTGTTTACCTACCTGCCTACGTACCTATCTTACCCTAACTAGGTAACTGACTAACCAACCAATCAACCAAGTAAGCCCGACTGGTACCACTGGTAGTGCTGCTATGACTGCTGCTGCTACTCCGCCTAGTACTACTACTACTACTACTACTACTACTACTACTACTACTACTACCACTGCCCCGACCACTACTACTACTACCACCACCACCACCACCACTACCATTACCAATACCATGACGACTACTACTACTGCTACTGTTATTAGTGCTTGCATTGTTCACATTGCTTTTTGACCATTATTCTTTTCAGTGTTGTCATTATCATGATGAACCCACGACTTTCGGGCGACATGAATCGCGGAGGTGCATCATGTGCAGCAGCGGCTCGCCGGTCAGCAGCAGCCTGTCCGTGAGCTGCTGGCCGGGAAACGGGGGGGTCTCTTGTCAGCGTTCCAGGAAGTGTTTGGGCATTGGGGCTTTGGTGCATGCACGCCCTTACGAATCTCATAGGGTGGGTGGTTGTCGCAGAACCGGTTTGCTTGATTGAAGTGCTGGCCTAATGCAGCATCGGACGTCTTTTTGTTCTGGCGCAGGCTGCGGCTGGCTCCCCGGCCCCGAGCGGCGAAGCGCCTGCGGAGATGCTGGAGGAATACCGCTAACGAGCTAAAGCTTTGCCCCCAAGCACTTGTCATGGAGCATAAGTTGTGGAGGAATCCACGCACGAGTGGTGGGAACCATGCAGGCAAGGGAACACCAAGCACCTGTCCAACTATGCTGGTGTTATCGCATTGAAAGCTTCGGGATGTGGCCTGCAGACCTGATGCTGCGCTTGGGTGTCGGTCCAAGCTTTCGGACTTCGGTTCTTCCGATGCAGGAGATCATCCGACAGCAGAGCCTCGGTGAGCCAGCTGTGTGTATTATAGGGGCCTAAATCATCACCTATACTATTTTGGGGGTTCCCTTGTTTTGACTATAATGTGAGGTTTTGAAGGTATGGGAGTCTCACCCTTCCAGGTTGGTTGCAGAAGGATGTTTTCAGTCTCGTGACAACATGCTGCTGCAAGGGCTGAAAGGAAGGTCGAAATCTG